TTAATTCCATCCCCCTCTCTTCGTGATTTCCTAAAACATTGAAGGCTTTCCACCGCTAGTGGGTGATTGGTAGATCGACAACACATGCTGAAAGAACCAGGATCTAGGTGTGCGATTGGGGATTAGGATCGATATGCGAATTGGGGATTTAGGTGAGGGAGAATAGGGATTTGGGTGAGAAAGAAGCAAAGGTCGGTCTCTGGGAGGGACGTGGCCGACGGCTAGGTGAGAGAGAGAGAGGTCGGCTAGATGAGAGAGAGAATTAGGCTTTAGGGAATAATAGTTGTGTTATTGCTTGCCCCCTAACCTTCTCCTAACACACTATATATATTATCCGAAGAATTCCTTCTAACTACCCGAATAATTAACCTAACCGAATAGACCCCAATAGTTCCGAATAATAATAATAAACGACAAATAAACCCCTACATAACATGTTTCTGTCATTCCATCCCCCTTGAAGCCCACCTTGCCCTCAAGGTGGGCCTTCTTTCTTCTCTTCCTTCTTCTCCTCACCGGCCTCCATTTCTTCCCCTTCGTCTTCCCAGTTTCTAATTAGCAGCATCAGATTTCCCTTGGCGCACTTGTGTCCACGGTATACCTCTCATCGCATTTGAAACAACGGCCATCCCTATGCTTCTGGTCCATCTCCGCCTGAGTCAGCCTCACAAACCCCCGCGGTGGCAGCCTAGCTGGGAATCGACTTCCCCTTGCACCCCCGATAGCTGCAGGGCTGGAAGCCGCCACCGGTGGTGAGGCCGTGACTACCCCGGGTCCAGCACCGACCCCCGCGCCTCCGCTGAACCTATGTATCCATCCCACCGACGACCTCCAGTTAGCTAGTTACTCCTCATTGCAACCTGCCAGCCTGAAATCCACACGAAAAGAGTCGGGTTCAAAGACCCTAACCGCCGCGGCAAGTTCCGGCTGCAGTATGCAGAGTCCCACCAAGGTCTCGTCCGTCATTTCCTTACAATGATTCCCGAGCTTCAGGAATTCGGCTCGGTACTCAGCCACCGAACCGGTCTGCTTCAGCTTAGCTAGCTGCTCGGGCGCCCATCCCTCTGCTCTTGCAAATTGATATCGAAGCTCCTCCTGAAACCTGGGCCAGGAGATATTCTCTCCCGCCGCCATATAGGCTTTCTCCGTGCATTCCCACCATTGGAGGGAATCTCCCTCCAAATAGAAGGACGCTAGGTGCACCTTCCTTTCTTCCCTGGTCGGGTGGTTCTTGAACCACCTCTCCGCCACATACAACCACAACCCCACATCGTCATTACCATCGTACTTCGGAAACTCAATAACCGGAGGCTTAGCTCTGAACACCAGCTCCTAATCATAGTCATAGAGAGGTTTATAGTACCCATACCTGCCCCCGTCATTGCACCCATACCTGCCCCCGTTCGATGGCTGCGGCCGACCTGACGCGTAGCGATAGTAGTCTACCTTTGCTTCCTGTCGACGAGAATAGGCCCAGTCGGCCATTTCCCACTGGTAGTCTTCCTCCTGTCTAGGCTTGGTCCCAGAGCCTTGCCCATCTTCCAGTCCGCGCCCACTACGCCATTGATCCGCACGCGGGGTCCCCCATGGGGGAAATCCCATTTCTGGTCCGCCGCGGTCGTTCCCGGTCGCTCCGCCCCAGATGCTGCCCGGTGGAACCCTTCCTGACTCGACCCGGTTTGGTGTGGTTCGACCCGTCCCGGTTCGACCCGGTCTACTTCGAACGATCCCGGTCTGGTTCGACCGAAGCTGGTCCGACCTGATCGGCGGCTTCCCTTGGCCCATCCTCTGGTTGTCCACCCAGCCCTAGCCGACTCCTTCGGGTCCTGGGTCCACCCACCCGCATTCCTGATCCTCGAAGTCCATCTCCTCCTCTTCGCCGTCGCGGCCCGGTCCATCAAACTCAACCACCTTCTGCTTATCGCGGGCCGCATAGATTTCTTGGACCATTGGAGCGGGCAGCAGGCCCGACCCACTAAAGATCGGCCCGTACTGACCTTCCCTGCCCCGTCCTCCGCCGCCCTCCGCGCCAACCTCCACCACACCAGCTGTCGCGCCTCCCGCGCCTGTCGCTGCCGCGCCACCCTCGCCCGTCGCCGTCGTCGTCCTGTTGCCCGTGCCAGCCGCTAGGGTGCCTGCCGCCGTCTTGCTGCCCTCGCCAGTCGGCAGGGCGTCGCCTGCGCCCGACGCCTACCCACCGCCTGCGGCTCCTGCACCCGCCACAGCTCCCGATGGCTTGGCCCCCGTCGCCGCGACAGCTCTCAGCTCCGCCTCGGTCGCCGTCTTCATCGCTGTGGGGCGGCTCCCAGGGTTGTGCTCATGGCTCTGCAGAACGACCATCAGAACCCCCCTCATCGTCTCCGCGAGGGCTCGGCACAGGTTATCCGTCACTGTCTTGCCCATCTCTTCAATCGAAACCGCAATCTGTCCGCCTAGGGCTTCGATGGCGCCGATCGAGCCCCGACGAGGCTGCTGCTATCCTTTCCATCGACTCCGTGAGATTTTCCAGCATCGTGACCATCACGTCATACTTGTTTGTTGTGATATCCTTCACGGTGACGACCTCCTTGGCCATTTTCTGCTGCTGCGGCTTGTCTGCCGGGTTCGACATCTTCCTTGCTCAAGAACTCTTACAGAAATCGACACACCAGCCAGGCTCTCATACGACTGAAAGAACCATGATCTAGGAGTGCGATTAGCGATTAGGATCGATATGCGAATTGGGGATTTAGGTGAGGGAGAATAGGGATTTGGGTGAGAAAGAAGCAGAGGTCGGTCTCCGAGAGGGAGGTGGCCGACGGCTAGGTGAGAGAGAGAGAGAGAGGTCGGCTAGATGAGAGAGAGAATTAGGCGTTAGGGAATAATAGTTGTGTTATTGCTTGCCCCCTAACCTTCTCCTAACACACTATATATATTATCCGAAGAATTCCCTCTAACTACCCGAATAATTAACCTAACCGAATTGACCCCAATAGTTCCGAATAATAATAATAATAATAATAAACAACAAATAAACCCCTACATAACATGTTTCTGACACATGCTTGGTGAGGTAAAGGAGTAGTGGTGGACGGTGCAAATTTGGAGTTTTCTTAGTTTGCGGCAGGGGAAAAGAATGGGGTTTTCCTCGCGAAATTGCAATGGGGAAACAGGGTTAATGAGGGCCCTCGACCCTCTTTGGCCCCCTTACTCATTATTAATTTTCTTATAATAAAATCATAATAATATGATAATAATAATAATTATTACTATTATTACTAATTCATGGTTGCAACTCTTCGTCCATAACCATCAATAATTTATTTATTATTGCCGAACCTCAACCCAAAAGTCGGGCATTACAGTTTAATTCAATTGTATATGATGATAGTTAAAATATTGTATTTGCTTTACGAGAATATGATATTTCTGTTATTGGAATATGATTTTTGCCTTCCTATAATATTAAGTACAAAATATGTGTTACAAGAATTTGTATTTGCACGACGATCATATAATATTTATGTTATTGGAATATCGTTATTGGCTTTGAAGAATATTAATTACAAAATGCTATTAGAATATGGTATTTGTATCAAAAGAATATTGTATTTGTGTTATGAAAAATATTGTATATGTGCAATGAAAATATAGTATGGATCTTGAATAACAACTTAGCTAAACAAAAATAAAAAAGATGAGAGGAGCTCTCTCCTCTCTCCTCTCTCCTCGAGGTCTCATTCTGGCTTGGGGAACGCCTACTGTAGGTCTTCTCAACCCTCTTCGCAGCCAGCTTGAGGAATCAGCAGACCTTCTGGCGACGAGCCAGTTATGTTGCTATCACGCTGGAAGGGATCGGCCGTTTGGGCATTGACCAATGCAAAGAACAGTTGGAGAAACCCATGGCCCGTGACACTGTTTATGAACGGAACCCTAATGGGACTGTTAACCGAGTTCATTGGGTACCCCCCAAACGAAAGAGATGAGCTTTGGTAGAGGAGCTTCAACCCTCACCTACTTTGCGTAGAAAAAGAGTGAGAAGTATACCATTGAAAGGGTGGATATTCTGGCTCCCTCACTTGTCCGAATTGGAAGGCGATGAATCGCTGTTAACCAGGGCTGGGACGAGTAAATTCACACTACATGACTCGGCACTGACAGTTGTGGAACAGTATGATCAGCCGGTCAAAGAATATTCACGAAAAAGGATAGAGCCTCAAACGTTGGGGGAAAATTGTCCGACGAAGAACTTGGCGGTTCCCTACATCCACCGTGCCGCCAGCAGATACCTGTTCACAACTCCTCAGAGAGTGATATCCCAATCCCGGACGATTCGGGATACGCGGGATTTGGTGGATAGTAAGCGATCCCCCGCAAATTTTGCGGGGCTGTTAGGGGGATCTTGGTGGTGTCCAACCCATCATACTAATCCGATCCTTTCTAATCTTACCATTAGTAGGACTCCCGCTTATAATCAAACTCTAAAAGGGGACACGGGTCTTGCGTATAAAATTACTAACCCCGTCCTGCGGTTGATAGCTCGCCATTATCAACAAACGTCTTGCTTAAGTGGAGCGAACACCGCAGAGCCCCAAGTGCTTTTGCCGATGGCCAATTTATGTTTAGGTATGGTGATAGAGTCTCCTAGTTCACAAACCTGCTCTCTTCTTTCGACTGGCGCTAGTCATATACCTGTTACGCAACCCTCTCCCTCTCACTAATCGAATGAGTCTTCTTCGATGGAAGGGCTGCTAGGGTTTAATAACCAGGAGTTAATCGTGCTCCCTCCCTTGGCGTGCCAGGTGACGACGATGGCTCACGTGTCGGAGGACTAGGTTGTACAATTCTCGCTTGGAGAGGTACAATCGACCAAATTTCGTGCATCCCGTACCCTCCTGGGAAGGCAGTTCACCAATTACCAATTTACAACGGTGGAACTTAGGGATGCTTTGATAGCGGCCTGAAAGATCAAGGGGCAGGTCGAGGTATCGAAGGCTAAACATGACCTCTTCGAGATCACAATGCCAAACGAAGAGACTAAGAAGTGGGCACTAAATCGTAATCCTTGGGTCATCAAGGACAGGCTGTTCACCCTAAGCTCCTGGACGCTTTCGATTACAAAAACTACCTTCGATGAGATGGCCATTGCCCCATTCCGTGTTCAGCTATGGGAAGTGAACGATGACTCTTGCACCAAGATCTTTCGATGGAAAATTATGGCCTCGGCTATTGGTCAAGTCTTGGAGTCTGGCGTCTTTGCTTGTAAAGATACTGGAGAGCGTTTTATTAAAGTGCGTACGATCATTAACTTTGCCAAACCTCTCCACTCCCAACTTATGGCGGTCAGTGAGGAGGTTGATAGCTTTTGGGTGAGCCTTAAGTATGAATTCCTGCCGAGTTTTTGCTACCATTGCTGACGAGTGGGTCATCCGCGCCGTGATTGTGCATTCGATCCGCCGCATGGGAAAAAGCGTTTCGGCCCGCACATGGCAACAAAGAAACTGGGACGAAAACTTTATGAGGAGGATGGTGTAACACCCTACCCCTATACGTTTTGCTTAATCATATTGTTCATACAATTGCAGCGGAATTAATCTCGGGTGTTACATTAATTATCAAAATTTACCCAAATAAAATTTTGACATGAATTACTCGTGTAATGGACTAACAGTTCTTGCAACTTATCCTGCAAAATAACTCATCACAAACATATATACTCACAACCATATGCATGGGCTTTTCTTAGCCATAGTCACACTTTTCATTCTCCACAACTGCATACCATACTTATACACACCATAATCGTCACAACTTACACAGTTACACAACATATACACATATCATCAACTTTCCACACCTGTGGATATCTCACACTACATCGAAAGCTAGTATGCACATGAAAAACGTTCTCAAAACATCTTTTTACAAAAAAGGTGTGGATCACTGGCCAAAATCCCGAGAGACATCCAAGCACATAATAGTTGAAGACCATACCTCATCCTGGCTTCAACTCTAGCTCCTCTCCCACCTAACACTTATCTACTGCTGTTGCTGATGATTTGCTTACACATAGCGTAAGCAGAGAAGAAGAATAAAAGAGGGTCAGCTCATAGCTGAGTGAGATAATCATAGAATCGTGAGTTCATAACAGAGTATACCCCTATCATACATCTAACAATCAAGCCAAAACACTAGGATCGGACCACAACCATCCTCATATCCCTATAGGCAAAAGACTCAACCACCTTGACTTATGCATATGTGTCTTATCATGTTTTACTTATAGGCGCCTGGTAAAGATACCGACGAGCGTTTTATTAAAGTGAGTACGGTCATTAACTTTGCCAAACCTCTCCGCTCCCACCTTATGGCGGTCAGCGAGGAGGTTGATAGCTTTTGGGTGAGCCTTAAGTACGAATTCCTGCCGAGTTTTTGCTACCATTGCGGACGAGTGGGTCATCCGCGCCGTGATTTTGCATTCGATCCGCCCCATGGGAAAAAGCGTTTCGGCCCTCACATGGCAACAAGAAACAGGGACTAAAACTTTATGAGGAGGATGGCGAAGCCCAAACTTTAGGGGTACGAGGAGCGCGGTGTGGGTGAATCGCCAAGTTGGTGATCCAACAAATGGGGCTGTGACAACAGGTGCATCTATGGGTGTTTGAGGGCATGCCCATGAACAAGTTTTTAATAGCATAATAGCAGGGAAATGATGGAATTGCACCAGAACCCTGGTCATGGGATGTCGGATCACTCTATGTCTCGATCTAGTACGGCTCATGGCTCGGTGCAATCGCCCAATCGCAGACCTAGTGTTTAAATTTAGGGGTGGCCGGAGAAACCTAATGGGATTGAGAGCTGCTGGAGAGCCCCTTGCCCCTCAGGCGCAAGACATGGTTGCTTCTCCCCAGCAACCCTACCCTACATGTGCCGTCGCAGCTCTATCAAACGATGATATCCCCATGGCTGAGGTAGGGGAGCAAACTCGACGACGCCGTCTGATCCTTGAGGTTGATTCGGATGATGACGAGATTGACCTTGCCCAGTCGGTTGTGCTTTGTGTTTTCTTTAGTTGTAATACTGCTGTCAGGGCTTCCCAATTGGCCCATCTTAGTTAAGTCTATGCTGCCATCCATATCCCTTATGCTGTCATAGGTGATCTAAACACAATTCTTCATGAAAGTGAAAAAGATGGAGGGAATCCTTGGAACGCAACTCACTCTGCTAGCCTACGTGATTTTATACATAACTTGGGTCTTCGTGACCCTGGATATCATAGAGATCAATTCACCTTGTTGAATAAGAGGATGGGTGCAGCTTGCCTTCGCCAACGACTTGATAGGGCACTGTGTTCTCAGGATCCAATTGATGGGTACCCTGATACCCTGGTTAAACATTTTACGGACCAAGGGTTAGATCATTGAGCGCACCTCTTCTCGGATAATCCCTAAGCCCGCAATAGCCGCCCTCTCTTTCGATTTGATGCCTGCTGGGCGGATAATCCTAAAGTTAAGGCTATGGTGCAATACGTCTGGCAGGAGGATATCCAGGGAACGCCTAAAGAAGCTCCATCATTTGTTGTATGACTGGAGTAGAGACGGTACCACGAATTCCCTCCAAAATATCAAGACTCTCCAGAATGAAATTGAAAAGACCAAGCTTTTCCATCCTATTGACTGGGATGCGAGTTCTAGAAATTGAGTTGAATCGGCAATGGGAAGCTGAGGAACTCTATTGGTAGCAAAAGTCTAGGGTCCACTAGTTAAAAAAGGGTTACAAGAATACATCTTATTTTAATACAGTGACAAGGGCTCGTCGTAAGAGGAACTTTGTGGTCGGCCTTCACAATGATGATGGAGATTGGATCGCGGATGAGACTGGGAAAGCTAATATGGCGACCAATATCTATCACCATATATTCACCTCGGAGAATCGTATTTTGAATATGGCTGAACGTGTGGTAGGCTTGCCTATCACTCAAACTTTTACTCCAGCAATGAATGCCAGCTTAACAGCAGCAGTTCTCCCTGGTGAAGTATGTAAAATGGTTTTTGCCATGGGATCGAAACAGGCTCCTGGGTCGGATGGATTCACGGGGAAATTCTTTAAATCCTTCTGGTATATTGTGGGAGCCTCGGTGATTGATGCAGTTTGTTCGTTCTTTGAGACTAGCAGGATGCTCCATAGTTTCAATCATACATGGCTTACTCTAATTCCCAAAGTAGATCCTGTGGAAACTATGCGGCAATTGCGGCCGCTCAGCCTGTGTCAGTTTGTTTATAAGGTTATTACCAAGATCATGGCTGAGCTACTTGCTGTTTTTTTACCACAACTTGTCTCGGATGGCCAGAATGCTTTTATACGGGACATGCAAATCGTTGAGAACATCCACCTTGGGCATGAATTAATGCACTATTTGAAAATCAAGACACGAGGAAAGAAAGGGTACATGGCTCTAAAGGTTGACATGGAAAAGGCCTATGATAGAGTTGAATGGTCTTATCTTCTCGCTATCTTGGAAAAAATGGGTTTTAACTCCACTTGGGGGGATGGATACATGCATGCCTTCGGTCATCATCTTTCTCCGTGTTAATGAATGGCACCCCGTCGGGTTACTTCACCCCCTCGAGGGGCCTCCGTCAAGGGGATCCTTTATCTCCTCTCTTGTTTGTGCTTTGTACGGAAGGGTTTGTTGCGCTTCTTCGCAAGGCTATTTCGGAGGACAAGCTTGCAGGTAGGGGTGTTCAAACGGTTTGGTTACCATGATAACCGTTTTAACCAGTACTATTTGGATAATTTGGTTTGGTTAATTTGAATAATTGGTTTGGTTTGGTTAAAGTTTTTAGCTTGTTTGGTTTGGTTTCAGACACTCCTAACCAGTCAAACCAAATTAACCAGTCAATTAATTAGTCATATATCTAGCACATATTATATACACATACTTAATACTTTGCATAACAACTCAAGACTTAACGTTCATCCCTTTTAGACTCATATAAAATATAAAGCTCAATATTGCTCTTATAGTGCATATTTGTATATATAAAGTGTAGACCACAACATATGGAAACCTAATTTAGATAAATTTCATACATTATGATGGATGAAAACTTGAAAGGTAGGTCATTTCCAGCCTATGAAATTGCTAAGAGACTAAGTCAATTTACACAAACACAACAAATCATTAACCCATACCATTGTCGTCCATTTTTGTTAGGTGAATACTTCTATACTAATCGTAAGATAATTGTCTTAGTTGCATGTGTTTTTGTTAAGGGTCAACTATAACTACGTGTTGATTGTTATGTTTTATTCATTATATAAATTGCGAATTGTTGCATTAACCGGAAAATTTTCATCATCAATGATAATGTGATTTTATATTGGTTAATCTGGTTAACCAATTAACTAAACCGATTAAACTTTAGTTTGGTTAATTTGGTTGTTGTATTAGTTTGGACGGTTTGGTTATGATATTGTATTCCATGGTTAATGGAATTCAGCCTTATTTGGTTTGGTTATAACCATGGTAACCATTTGAACACCTGTACTTGCAGGAATTAAAGGTGCTCCTCGGGCCCCTCGGATCTCACATATGTTTTTTTGACTATGACTCGTACTTGTTCCTGCGTGGCTCTCTCAATGAGTGTGAGAACTTAATCGAAGTCTTGAATGAGTATGAGCAGCTCAGTGGCCAGAGGGTGAACCTGGAGAAATCGACAGTTTGCTTTAGTAGAAACATTGTTTTGCCGGACCAAGAATTCCTGGCCGCAATTCTGGGAGTTGGGGCGGCTGGGGTTCATGATAAGTACCTAGGATTGCCTACGCTGATTTCTCGATCCAAAATGGATACCTTCCGTTACTTTGAGGAGAAATTGCTTGATCGACTCCAAGGGTGGAAACAGAGGACGCTATCTTGGGCGGCTAAGGAAACTTTGATCAAATCCATTGCCTTGGAATTAATGTTGCATGTGATGTCTTGCTTCAGGTTGCCTCTCTCCCTATGTCGTTTGCTGGATAAACATGTGGCCCGGTTCTGGTGGGGCGCTGAGTAGGGCCATTCGAGAATTCGGTAGATGTCCTGGCGTAATATGTGCCGAAGTAAACATGATGGAGGGATGTAATTTCGCCATTTTGAACATTTTAACCAAGCTCTTTTAGCAAAAATTGGTTGGTGTATCCTCCAGGAACCTCATTTCCTCTTAGCTCAAGTCTATATGGGGAAGTATTTCCTCTTTCCTCTCGGCTATGACGCGATCTCGACCTTCGTGGGGGGTGGCAAAGTATTACTGTATGGCCGTTAGTTATTGGAAGCGGGGTTACGATGGCAAATTGGAAATGGACAGTCTGCTTCCCTGCTTCATTCCAATTGGATTCCTCAGTTGCAACTTGATCCTCCTAGATATAATCCCCTGGTCTTGCCGATTGAGGGGGATCCATTGGTTGCTGAGGTTATTATTCCAGGAGGTGGGCAGTGGTGTGACCTGAAACTTAGTCAATGGTTTGACCCTACTAGTTATGAGGCCATTAAAGCTATCCCCCTTCCGCGACTGTCGGTGGAGGATAAGCTGATTTGGCATGACACAGATGAGGAAGTTATCACTGTTAAGTCGGCCTATCATTTAGCTGTCGCTCTCGATAAAAGGAAGGGACGTTGGAGGTCAGAGGTTAGTTGGATGGACAAGGCAAGTTGGAACAGGCTGTGGGAGGCTAACCTCCCCCCTAAATTGAAGGTGTTTGTCTGGCAAATTCTGAACCGTATTCTTCCTACCACAGAAGCCCTCATTGATAAAGGTGTTCCTGTTCTACCTAGATGTCCGGTTTGTTGGGATGAGTCAGAGACAATGGAACATCTGTTCCTCTATTGTCAGGTGGCTCGTGCCCTCTGGGACTATTCGGGGCTAGCTTCTCTGGGTGAAGGGTTGCCACAACACACCTTCCCTCTGTTGCTTAAGCGTTTGATGTCACTGCTAAATCAGCCTTCCTTGCTCATGGCGGTTGTTGTTGTCCTTTGGAGGATCTAGCGTTCTAGTAACTGGGTTGTCTTCGAAGGCAAGCAGATTGGGATCTCTGCTCTAATGCATCAGTACAACCAGCAGTATGAGGAATGGGTTGGTCAACTAGTGGATCGGAATTCTCACTCATCAGTCCCTAACTCACATCAACCGGCTCTGGTAGGGGATGATAGGCTTGTTTGTATGTAGGATGGGGCAACGAGGAAGGGATCTCATTCGGTAGGTGGGATTGTTATTATGACCCCTGCTAGGGTGGTCCTTATGGCTATTGGGTTTCAGTTCCCGGTTATTGATGATCCCATGCTTTGAGGGCGATTCTAAGGTTATCATTGATAAAATCAACCATGCGCATACTAGTGATAGTCGGATCGGTGCTATTCTTGCTGAACTTGTTCATCACTTTGCTATTCGCAAGGGGTTTAGTGCTCGATTTGTAGGTCGGTGTAGTAATAGGGTAACTCATTTGGTGGCTCGAAAGGCCCTCTCTTTGTACCCGACTGCGATTCGTTTCTTCGATTTCCAGGCTTGGCAGAATTACAGGGTGTAACTATCTTTTTTGTTTCAATAAATGGAGATTATCTTTTGTAAAAAAAAAATAGTATGGATCTTGTAAAATTAACCTTGTTTATGTGAATATTGTAGGAAGTGTTGTCAAAATAATCATTACCTTCTTATATTTTATTTATTATCTTATTTCTAACAACTATGTTTCATTGAAAAATTTAATAATAATATTATAAAATCCACAAAATTAGACATTGGCATCAAAGAATTATCTTGCCACTTTCTTTCTGATTCACTTTTTTTATTTATAATTCCACATTATTTCTCATTTTTATTAATTGATTCCTACGGAATTAGAGGACTCGGTCAAACCAGAACCCAACCGATCTGAACCACAAAGACTGTTCTCTAACGACCACCTTCGTCAACAAATCTACAGTCTGATCTTCTGTTGACATATAATTAAGCTGGATGACTCCCTCCTGAATGAGCTGTCGAATATAGTGCACATGAGTCTCGATGTTCTTAGTCCTATCGTACAACACCAGATTGTTAGCAATCCGAATTGCACTAGTATTATCACCAAACAACCTCATCGG